GGTGCCGAAGAGGCGGTCGAAGATGATGAACGTCTGGCCGTAGTTCTTGTCGATGCAGTACCTGTTGGCGCCTGCAGCGGAAGAGAAGCGAATAAGACGATGCGCGAAACCGCTGTCTAGCACAGAAAATCACAAATGGGTTGGATGATAATTGTTTGTTACAAAAGTTCATGCTTAATCTGCTACGACCTTTAAAATCATGTTCAAGACTCAGTTGCAAGACTCGGGGCATAATCATCGCGATTCTACATTCGGCATGAAAGGCTCTCCCTCCCGAGCCCCGTTTGGACGCCGGAGGAGGCAGAAGAGGCCAGCGAGGCCGTGGAGGGACGCACCGTGGTGGACGCGATGGTGGCTGGGCGTGTGGAAGATGAACTCGAAGACATGACCTAAGCCGGGGATGACCTTGCTCAGCTTGGGCACGGTCTCGTTGTGCGTCCAGCCGGCGTAGATGAACGACAGCTGCACGTGGACCAAGAAGACTGCGGGCGGCAACCCCAAGATGGCCAGAGGCGTGAAGAAGATCCACCTAATGAGGATATATTTTAATGGCGTTTCTAACCTGACACTGCTGAAATTTGGTCACACAAACACACACACATGCACAAATAGCGAGCTAGAAAGACACGTAGGAACGCTAATAATATAACGCATTCGACTTGTATGTTTCGACTAAATACATGCATGACTTGCAGCTCACTGCCAAATTACCTGAAAGGCCTCATGGTCCAGGACGTCCTGGCAGTCACCGTCATGTTGAAGTCCTCGGAGCTGTGGTGGCTGGAATGGGCCGCCCACATCAGAGCCGTTTCTGGTGATAATGGTTCTTAGAAGGACATATCCAAGCGCCTAAGACAACATCTATTTCAGAATGAAGCGAAGAAAGAGAAGGTGCGGAAGCGGGGGCACTTACCGTGAGAGGCCCTGTGCCACCAGTAGTAGCAGAACTCGACTCCCAGCAACGCGAAGAAGTAGGTGTAGAGGGAGTCCCACGCCAGGTAGTTGAGGCGCCAGTTGCTGTAGACCCAGCTGTAGAACGTGATCTCGGCGCCTCGGAAGATGAAGCTGCGGCAGATCAGAGTGAAGAATTGAAAACCCCGTTATGGAAAGTTTGTCATGATCATTATTCTGAAAATCATGTAGCATCACCATCGCCATTCCCAGACTTCCTAACGTTGTTTTGTTGATGTTATCATTATTGTTGTTGCTGCTATATTCAAATGAGGCGCGTTTTCTTGACAATTACTTCTATCATCATGATTGCTGTTGATTAAAAAAGTATAGTTTGCCTGCAGTTTAGATACTGGATTCATCCATAGGTTCACCAAGGCGATTAATCTGCTAGTAATCAGGCTAGCAAATGTGGAAAGACCATACGTCTGATGTTTCCTGGCACTTAAAAGAGAATTTCCTTTGAGGCGCCGAACTCACTTATTACTCGCTTCCGTGAGTCCTCCGCTCGAGTAGTTCAGGACGGCGTTGTGGAGACGCCAGTTGTTGTCTCGATTGGTGAACTTCAGGATCAGCGCCTCGACCACCGACATCAGCGTCATGATCGGCAACGCCTGAAGTCGCCCAAATGGAGAAATGAGAGGGGCGTCGAGGGGAAAACTGTTCCAACAGTTTAATATACAAGGGAAAACTGGCCGTTTTTCGTCTGCTTCTGTAACTCACCATGGCCGCCATGTTGGGCACCTGCCACACGCTCTCATAGTAGGTTTCGTCCGGCGACAGGGCGTAGAAGTTGGTCCTGAGGCTGTACGACCACGTGGACGTGTCGGGCGCTGAGGTGTTCATGGTGGAGGTTCAGTTTTCCTGCAGCTGTTCCTCAGAAAGGTTGGATGTGACACTGGGAGACTCCAAGGCGAGAGTGTGCAGCTGAAATGGCCAGACTCCCTTATACCTGAAGGCTAATCTTATCTGGTGACATTCCGCGACATGTTTCCGTCTTGTCTCCCGCCGTTCGGACTGAACCCCTTATCTCGAACAAACAATGATGCTGCCTTTTAGTGCTTTCTTTTCCGTGCTCATCCATTAGATAATGGAAATAAGATTGCTGAGGAACTGCTATTATCTGGAGTCATTGCATGTTGAAAAGACTTCTGTTAATAACCTTGGCCACACGCAAGATCACTTTCCTTTCCGTTATATAAAAAACAATATCAGTTAAGTTAAACATCTGGACTGATTTCAAAATGAGTGTCTCGCTTAATTCAGCTGCTCCGATCTCAGCTGTGGGTGAGCTCCTCTATGTTATCATTCTTCTTATTGTTGTTATTGCTGTAATTATTGTTATTACTTGTTATCATCACTACTATCTTTACTATTCTTCTACATATATTTATTGTTATTATTATCATTATTCTTATCATCTTCATTATTATTATAACTGTCATTATTCTAATTATTTAAAAAAAATCTTGAAAAAAAACATTAACACACGTACACATATATATGAATATTTACGTACACACACACACACACACACACACACACACAC